TGAAAAACAATCGGTTCCTTTCGGAGACGTTTAATGTTAGAGTGCAAAAACGACAGTGTAAGTGTTTGAAAATTTGTTAAGTGTAAAGTGACAGTGGTTTTATTAAGTTGAGTTTGTGTATAAAAATCAATCGGCTGCTTTCAAAGACGTGTATTGATAGGACGTAGGAGCAACAATCTTAGTGTGTTAAAATTTTTAAGAGTGACAATGATCGTGCGGTGGATTGCGGGGTTCCTTCCCTGGACAGAAGATCAGCTGTGGCCTACCTGCGAGCGGCAAAGACGCTGACCCATTGACCGTGACCCATTGTGAGCAGGTGCACTTGCGAATGAATGAGTAAGTCTAATCTCTAAAGTTTTCGCATTTTCTTTTAAATTCAATATTGCCTGCGACTTGTTAATTCCTCGTTTATCCTATCATCATCCATCAATTATCAACAATCTATCATTTCTCCATCCATTGCACGTGAATAACGATTAAGTGTATTAATTGTTATTCATAATAATGCACGAACAACAATTTTCTTGCATTGTTATTCATGTAGTTTGTTAAACGCTTCGTACTGAGCGGAGCGCTTGTTCAAACGCGTGATAGGCCGGTCGGCCGGATCGGAGCCAACCCTCCCGAGCCGGAGCGCGCGCGAACTGAGCGCTCTGATTGGTCGGTGTTTTTTGTTAATAACTCCTCAACCACGCCTCGGACAACTTTTTCGCAAAGGAAAATGTTGTTCAAAATCATGTCAGGAACCTCCCATTAAAATTCCTTACACTAGTTTTGGGACACCCTGTATACAATGATTTGCTGATAGTCGAAGTTGGGATCGGTCTGGTAACTGTGCTGAAAAAGTAAACAAGAGAGAGAGAGAGAGAGACCGTGATAAACTCTTTCGGAAGGACCAATGTTTATTGAAGGGCGGTATTATAAATAGTTAGAGCAATTGACGAATGATCTCGCTTTCAATAGATATCACACTTGATCCCGCCCATGTATTAATTTCTACTTACGTATTTTCCCTAAGCGCTACAACTGTTTATTATACAGGGTGTCCCAGAACTCCCTTTACGCCCGAAAATGAGGAGGAGCTGAGGTCATTTTAAACAACTTTTTCCTTTGCGAAAAAGTTTTCCGAGGCGTGGTTATTGAGTTATTAACAAAAATCCCCGCCCAATCAGAGCGCGAGTATACAAGGCGGGCAGGAGCGCGATAACCGCCTCGTGCGTTGCCCCGGCCCGTATGCCACGCTCGTGACGAGAACATAGGATTAAAACAAAACTTACATGCAAGGGTAACTAAGAAATTGATTAAATATCAGAGAAAAGAAAGCAATTAGTCGTTTGATATGTTCACTGAATAAATGCAACATATTCAATGAGATAACTAACAACTTTATAAATTACGCAGTAGGTGAAACAAAAAATGGGAAAAGAATTAGAGTTGAAATTAGTCGTTCGTCTTTAAGTTCTCACTACGGTTACGGTAACGTGAACATGCCTTAACATAACGACCTCAAATAACTCGTAAGGTATTCGTTGTACGAAAAAATATTTCAAACAATAGTTGCATGGTATCTATGGGGGCATACAGTGCTCTAATCTGTTTTTTATTACCTTACCTTTTTATTGAGATATTA